AATTCTCCACAAAACCCCCTCTGATTTAACTATTTATCACTGATGTACTACTTCTGAGGTCTAGAGGATGCATAGAGCATTCCGGGATTCTGGGAACTCTAGAACTAACAATGAGTGTTGCTAAACACTTTTTTTGTGACCACTGGACTAGTAGATGCTTGAGCTTCACTTTCACTTTTCTTATCAAGTCAATAGGAGTGCACTTCTAGGAATTTTCTACAAAGGGCATTCATGTTTCATGATATAAGACTCTGAAACAGGTTTCCTTAACTAGCGACAGGGTCACAGGCACCTTTTTTGATTATTTCTTGTAGCAGATAAACAATAAACTTATTGGTAAGCAGAGATGGATAGTGGCTAGCAGTGGAATCCAGTTTGACGCGCGTTTCGTCCTATTTGGGACTCGTCAGCTGGATGTACCTGCATCTCAGAGTTGATGTTCACTCTGAGACTCGAACCCAGTACCCTCGCTTCAAACGCCATCGCGTTATCCACTCGGCCACTGAGTCCTGATAGCCACTTGCTTGTGCGATGGGGTGAAGTTTGAATTCACTTAGTATTGTTTGTTTGGATCTTCCCATCGATGCGTTAGGACTGCAACTGGTCAGTCTCTAATTGGCATATGTGCATACTGTGCGTATTGCCTCGATATACCTACCATGCTTGTGAATTAAGGTATATCGAGGCAATACGCACAGTATGCACATATGCCAATTAGAGACTGACCAGTTGCAGTCCTAAACACATCGATGGGAAGATCCAAACAAACAATACTAAGTGAATAAACTTATTATACAGTTGAACATTATATGTAATGTTTAAACAATACAATCTCATACTGTGTACTTTCCTTTAGAGTTGTCGTTTGTATCTGGTTGAAGTTCTTGACTCATTAACATCAGTCCTATCTTGTTATATTAATTTGAATTCACATCTCTCTTTTCAGAACTCCTAGTATGGTTATGATCGTCACATAGTATCGATTATTCGAAAATTCAGATCCCTTTTATGTGTACAGAAACAATTTTTCCTAAACTTGAGTGTCCTGTGGTAAACTTAACTCAATGTTTCTTCTTATGGTAGTGGGATAAATTTACATTCTCTAAATATTATTTTGATTTTTACCCTCTACTTACAACCATCGTCTCTGTTTAATTGACTTTCATTAGTTTTTTCATAAAAAATACATATGACATGAATGTATAACGCATACACATAACACTTTTTAGATCAACTCCGTCTTCTCGCTATTGTATCATAATTCATAAAAAAAGCGAATTGCATTAGACAGATTTCTGCCTTACCTACCGATAACTTTAGAAGTGATACTTAAGTAACCCATTATGAGAAATTTCATAGTATTTGTTATTAAAAACTGATAAAACAACCATGGATTGCTTTTAGTTTTGAATTACTCAAACTTCTTGTTATGCTACCTATACTGGATCATGTAAACCATTTCACATTCATATAGATATGCACAACAGATAGTAATTATTGTTCACCAAATTCCATATAAATTGAAGGAAATAAAGCAAATAGCGGTAATAATGTTATAAGTGTACTTTTGAGGGGGTGGGTCTTCTACTATGTGCTATCGTTTCCATGTTTACTTTTACACTTTTCTCTCAGTAAATAGATCAGATCACTTCGATCATGGACCATCTTTGTAAGATAAATTTGACCCTAAAAAACAAAGTGAAACCATTTAACTCATATGCTGTAACGTTAGGAATCGTCTATAGATGATGATATAACTTTTATGAAACTAACATCATATTTTACTATTGTCTAAATTAGTAAGTTAAAGTAACTTCCTTCACAAATGACATAAGCTTCAGAGCCTTTGAAAATCACCCGAAAACGTCTGCCTTCTAGTTAAATGAATTGTTTTTAGGTATGTTAATAAGTGTCAAGGAATCAAAGTCAGTGGTCTCGGGTTTCGTGAGAGACGCAGGTTCCTTAAACTACAAAGTACGGATTCAGTAATATACATTTTTTTTTCTGCAAAACGTGTAATAAGACAATCTTCATCCGATATCTAAACTCACTATCAATTTAAGTGATTTCACATCCTAAGGTTTCTTCCTAGAACATCGAATACATTGTCCGAAAGTTCACCACTGTGGTGCATTATCATCATTAGTTCTTGATTTGATTATCTTTAGCTGATAAAAAGTCCTTTTAACTTAGTAATTTAATACCAACATGATCATTTGTAAACACTTATAAATTATTTCAGTATTAGCATTAAAGGTGAATAAGAGTGATACATTTCTTAAAGAATCATCTTTTATTAGATCTGATGACTAAGAATTCAAAACAACACGAAATAAACAATTATTCCAGTGTATATAAGTGAGAATTCTCGAGAAGCTTGTAACATAAGAAACAAACTGAAGATACCACCAGTATTGTAGTTTGACAACTCTTTACCAATAACACCTATAATCGAATCGCGCCCACCCAGTTAAAATCAGAAGTCAGAAGCGAGGAGGATGGAAGATATATTTGATGGGTTATTAATATATCGAGAATTGACTGATCTAATCAGGCTAATGATCGTAGGAGATGCTTCCCATGCCGTTCTGTAACGTGATCTGGTACGGATGCATGACCTAGCGCCTTCAGCTAAACACGTCCACTAAAACTAATGTGGTCAGCATCCAATGTCGAATACTAACAGAGCTATTGATTTTTGGGAATTATTTACAGCTACAATACTAATGAAGTTTTGAAGTCAATTTATTCTAAGCTGATGTCCATGGAAAATGGAAGATTTCACATTTTGACCTAAAGAAAGGACGAATTTAATCATTAGATGTGGAATGTAATCAAATCTGTGGAACAATCACATCTAGACGTCTTTGATTTATTCCAAAATGAAATTATAGCAATTTCAATAATATACTTTATCTCATGAATTAATAACGTACGTTAAATGTCAGAGTATAATTAAACTTCATCTTCAGTTGTTTAGCGGTAGACTCAATCAGTTTCTCCAACTTGTTAAATTTCTATTAAATATAAGTTTTTTAAAATAAAGATTTTAAAGGTTTAATTCATTGAAAATGTTCACTAAAATATTTGACATTATAACAACATTTGAAATACAATTCTGTCCTGTATTACACTTCATAATCACTAAATAAACGACAATTAAATAGACCCAAGTGAAATTAGATGAGTCATGAATTACTTAACGACTTCAGGTTTAACTATAATCTATCTGAGATTCGTGGATCGTGGATGCGCGCTGCTGAGGAATCACATAATAGGACGAAACAGCCGTCAAACAGTGCTTCCAGGTTTTCCATGGTGGTCTAGCTTCAATTGACTGACGATTTCAACTTTGAAAAATATAATCTATTTAGTGATGTTAACCATGTATCATCATATAATCATTCTCTTAATGAGATCATTTATTTTTGACCCAAATTATTAATGATTTTCAGTGAAACCCTGAGTTAATCTAAGTTAGGCAATCAGGTTTTCACTGGTGGTCTAACTTAGATCAGTTCAGGATTTCACTGAAATTCAACAATCTCCACAACCCTATCTTATAATTATTTATCATTGTTAACAAAGTTCTTTCTCATTCAACAGGAATCACTCTTAAATTTTTCTGACTAGTGTTTTCTGATAGTTTAGCTAAACATTTTATGGCTTACTCTAATGATGCAACTTCAAGAGCAGTTATTAGCTGATCATGTTTTACCACTGTACATCGCCAATGAGTCATTTTAACATTTAACACATTTTGAACCCTTCTTCAAAACGTTTTATAATACTCTTCCAAATAATTTCCAGTAAACATGTTAAAGGTCAACAATAATCAATGAAGATCGAAGTCTACTGGACAAGTTGTGAGCCATGTATGGAGAAATTCGAACGCTTTATTTCCACCTGATGTCGTTCAGAATGACAATAAAAACTCCACAACCAAACCATGCAGCTCAGAAAACAAAACTGCACCAAAATTTTTAGTAAATCCTAAAACTTCAAATTCATTTACATTCTGTATTAGAAAATATCATTTTAATTTAAAAAATTTTAATCCTAAATATTATTAAAGCCTAACTAGTGAAAAGTAAATATGATAGAACAGATTATTAGTCTATCGTGTTCATTTGAAAAAACAGCCAATAATCATGAATTATTAATTTTATATAGTTGGGATCATGAGTCAATTGAAGATAGACCACCAAGCAAAACCTGGAAGCACTGGACGGCCAACTCGTCTTATTATGGGACTCCTCAGCAGTGCGCATCCACGATCCCGCCTCGCGAGATCCGAACCCAAGACCTACCAGTCTCGCGCCAGAGCACTTAACCGATAGACCACTGAGAAGTACCACAATAGGACGAAACAGCCGTCAAACAGTGCTTCCAGGTTTTCCATGGTGGTCTAGCTTCAATTGACTCATGCTTTCAACTATGATAATATAAATATGTAATTCAAAAATAAAAATAAAATAATATTTACTTTTTCAATTTTAAAACGTTCATCTGAACATTTCAATTGGAAATGATTATCATCTAATATAATAGTAAAATATTCAATTATTAACTTAATCACATAATTATTAAATCATTTCCAAAGAGTAAAATTTTAACAGAACTACAGGCTTTGATGAGACAATAATTTATGGATGACATTTGAGCAACGCTAAAGTGATCATGAAAACGGCCACCGCATAACTAAAACTAAATAAGGGTTATCGACAATTGTGAGAAATTAGAATTATGATTTACAGTTGATGGTTAAAGTTAGGAATAAGATTCAGGGTTAATATCACTAACTGACATCAGCTATAATGACAAAATTTTATTTAGCCAAATGGATGAGTGGATTTCTCGCCAAAACCCAAAACTCCTTATCTTATATCTGATTGGTTCGTCCATAAATTATAGTCTCGTCGCAATTAAATAGATTGGGACATTTTAGAACTTCCTCATTTGATATCACTGGGCTGTTTTTTCTTTTTTTTTAATTTTTTAATGTTCAGATCGTTAAGTGATAATACAATGAATATAGTCATTATTAATGCCCACCATATAACTTTATGTTATTAGGTTTAGTTTCGTGGTGAATCGTATGTATTGTTGATAAATAGAAAAGTTAATGATAAAACATTTAATTTCAAAGAGTCAAGTGAACTTGGAGAACGAATAGGATAGAGTGAGAATAAAATTTTACAATAAGGAGTTAGATGAATAGTGAAATCATTTGTGCTGTTACTACTGATTTTGAATTCTGAATAACAGTAGGTAACTTTATTATTTAACAATATGCCTTTTTCAAGTTTTCTTTATTGTTTTTTTCAATCTAATATCGAGTTAACTAGCATAGTGTTGGGTCAGATTTTTGACATGTATCTAAAACACGTATCCTAGCCATCTCGGTTGATGAAGTGGAAAAATTGCTTCAAGAAAAATTAGGGCTGACTAGAATCAAATATTTTAGCATTAATGGTTCGTGTCATATACAAAACGTCAGAGGGTTTATAGAAACAGAAAATTTTTAGTTAAGATCTTTTTCATGCCATAACCTTAACGATAAGCTACAGCGTTAAAATTGCAACACTTCACAGGGAAACCTGAAGTTGTATACGTTTGAAGGGCTACTACAGTAAATTTTCAATATCGTGTTGAACCTTCCCATTAGTGATCAGGACTGCAATTGATTAGTCTATTATTAGCACATGTGCATACTGTGCATATTGCCTCGATCTAGCCTTACTACCATCTCTGCTTATAATAAAGTACTTTGTTGAACATTAGTTCGAGATTGAGGATTAATATTGCTGAAAAGTATTTCATAGAAATGAAATAACTATCTAGTGATTGTGGATTTCTATAGGTCATTTAATATCACACCAGTTAATGTAAAATCTTATTTCAGATTCTTATTCTGTCTATATCTCATTTAAAAGAACCAAGTGCAGATATGAAACTGACTTCAACCACTTGTTGTAAGTAGTGTTGTAAGTAGCTTAAATTTTTAATATTTTTTGTCCAATTTTTACTTACGCCATTTATTGATACTTACTTAAACTATAAACTTTTGATTGAATCATATGTTCAGCTTCAATTTTTGCTAATTTATACAAAAACATTTCACGACGTTCAACATATTCCGCTGCACGTTCCAATAATTTTAATGCCTTATTAATAGTTGCCATGTAAATTGTTTCATTTAAATGTTGCCAACAAAATTTCAATAGACAATATTGTTTTTCACTTTCATTAAGTTTCAATTTATTCCATATAATAAAAAGTCTTTGTTGAATTGTATTTTTTACAGTATTTAAATTACGATCACACTACAAATAATATATAGAATACAATCAAAGTTAGTGAAAGGATTTAAAAAAAAAGAAAACAGTAAATCTATATTCACTTGGTATTGTTTGTTTGAATCTTCTCATTGATGTTTAGGACTGCAATTAATCAGTCACTTATTGACATATGTGTATATTGTGCGTATTGCCTCGATATACCTTAATTCACAAGCATTGTAAGCAAAGATGAATGGTGGCTAGCAAAGGAATCCAGTTTGACGCGCGTTTCGTTTTATTTGGGACTCGTCAGCTGGATGTATCTGCATCTCACAGTTGATGTTCATTCTGGGACTCGAACCCAGAGACTGACTAATTGCAGTCCTAAACGTCAATGGGAAGATTCAAACAAACAATACCAAGTGAATTTAAACTACATCCCATTGCACAAGCAAGTGGCTATCAGGACTCAGTAGCTGAGTGAATAACGCGATGGCGTTTGAAGCTAAAGGTACTGAGCTCAATGTGGAAAATGTTCTTGGATAGTTTCGACATAAGAAGTTCAGCGACTCAGAAGACTGTGCAATCTGAACAAAATCCTATTAGAAGATCATTAAGGAAACGCAAAAGGCCAGATATCCTGAAGGTGGATCCAGAGAAAAGAGCATATGTTTCTGAGGAAAGATATCAATGATGATATCTTAGCTATTACTTGTAACTAGTGACTAATCACTTTTCTTTTTTTTGTTTATTCTAGTTAACCAAATTGGTAACGTTTTGCAACGATCACAACGCCATCCAGTTTCCCTTACTTACGCACCCAGTTCAATGATGTGGACAGAGAATCAAGAAGCCTTGACCAACTATGGAAGCTACTTTCAGGGACGTTATTTCATTTAATTCAAAGCTTGTAAAACTGTAACATTTACTTTTGTCCCTAGTCTATTCAACAGATCATAAGCTTTCGTTCGATGTATGATTCACTGCGATTGCATTTTCTGTTCCAAAGCTATAGTAATTTAGACGTGACTTTTTGTACTCTATTTTTTACTCTAATCCCCCAGTTTTTGACATCATTGTATTTTCCTAATTATTTACGTTATGGTCGGGTTAGTCATCTATTTATTCATGTATCTTTTTACACTAATCGGAATTCGGGTACCAGATCGAATTTCGGAACAAAGCGAGTAGTGTTCCAGTTGTCTTGTTTTCTCGCTCTCGCGTGCTTGTCAGTCAATCAGGGATAGAATAGTTTTCGTCTCTCTACTCCCACTTTGAACTCACGCATACTAGCCTCAAGGTTAAGCCAATCAGCTTGTCTCGTCAAGGTTTTAATCTACATTAGACAAGTTATCCTCGGCACGAAAGTGGGTAGACAGATTCAAGGACGTAACAGTTGGATTGACTTCAAATTCAGTCGCTGAGATTTTACTAATATACTCTTATGAGAAGGGTTTTTTGGAGATTTAGTATTTTCATAGTTGAAAGCGTGAGTCAATTGAAGCTAGACCACCATGGAAAACCTGAAAGCACTGCTTTAAGGCCGTTTCGTCCTATTGTGGGACTTCTCAGAAGTGCGCATCCACGACCTCGCCTCGCGAGATTCGAACCCAGGACCTCGCACCAGAGCCCTTAACCGATAGATCAAATATACTCTTACTATTTAATGTCTTACATCAACTCGGCGCCCAAAATACTGTGAAACTATTCTCTCTAATTTAGACGAAAGTTCTTATAAATAATTGATAATATTTTGTACATTCGATAAAGTATTTCATATTCAATAATGAATTTAATTAAATTTGAATAAATAACACCTTGTGTATAAATAAATATGACATACCATTTCTTTACCAGTTTTGTAAATACTACAAATTGGTGATATATTAACTAAATTCATTAAATTAAATTTGAGTAAATTAATTTTTTCTTCACAATTGCTTAACGACTCATAGTCACCTGAATACAAAAAAGTAGGCAATAATACACTATAGTTCAGTCATACTATGGACAAAGACAAATACTTTATTATTATTAAAATAAAAATTAAAAGAAATGGGTTCTAAGATAATTCTAAAAGATCAGAATGGGGTTTGTGGGGATTGCAGTAATTTTAGTAGTTGAACTCATTAGTCGACGTAAGCTAGACCACCATTGAAAACCTGGAAGCACTGAAAGGCCGTTTCATCCTAGTATGGGACTCCTCAGTAGTTCATGTCCACGATCCCGCTCTCTGGATTCGAACGCAGGACCCTTAGTCTCACACGCGAACACTTAACTTTCAGACCACTGAGCCGGCATCCAATGGTGTTAATATTTAACTTCAATCGATTAAACCCTTAACCCATTGTCTGAGGTGTATAATAGACTTCACCAGACACGCATCTGACTCCACTGATCACGCCTCCTCATGGATCGATTTAAGTTAAAAATTAACACTGTTAGATGCCGGTTCAGTGTTCTAGAGGTTAAGTGCTCAAACGCGAGACTGGGGGTTCTGGGTTCGAATCCCGAGAGCGGGATCGTGGACGCGCACTACTAAGGAGTACCATACTAGGATGAAACGGCCGTCCAATGCTTCCAGGTTTTCCTTGGTGGTCTAGCTTCAATTGACTTATGAATTCAACTATTAAAATCCTAAAGAACACAGAAGCCTGGAAATATTTTGTATATCGTTATCATGCTAAAAGGTAAAGTTCAGAATGTTGCAATTAATTGAGTTTCATATTCGTAAATACTTTGCATTACGGATCGACATCATTTGAAGAACATTTAAAGATTGAAAAGCAATAGGGCAAACAAATTCAATACAGCTTGGTACATTTCAGCGGATTCATGACTCTCGAAAATGCCGATTCAGAGAGACTTATTTTCTTTTGTTGAGGATAGAAACATTTAAGCCATTTATGTAAAAAATCAACTAATTAAACATTGGTCCATTTTTCACTAACAAACCAACTTTCAGTTGATTTTTCTGAAAGTTTACCTAAAAGACATGATATGTAAAGTAAATTAAGTCTTCATCGAAATAGATTTACACCGTTGAAAATTGATGACATTTGCCTCCTTGTAACAACTCACATCAGTCAAGTGTGTATCACTAAATTTCAGATCAATTTTTGAGCAGCATCTTGATCAGTATAAGTGAATTCTAACCTTTTTGACGTAACCGGTTTTTCACTATAGAAATACTTAAAGAAAACAACAGTTTATGAAAGGTTTGTTGGATAGCTGTATAGTCTAAGACCAGCATTTTCTCCTGTTTGCCAATCGTCTACTAGAAATAGTTGCGACCCAGTGCTAATGTACACACGGAAACTCAAATATAGCACTTATACCATCAAACACAAACGTATTTTCCATTAATCTGTTGACTCAAGATAGCCAAAATCATGTTCATCGAGTATAAAGTTATTTCAAAGGTTTTACATTTGTCTTATCTTGATACTCTTATCCTAGCTACATACAGTACAGAGGTACCCACTGAAGGTGATTAAATTCAGTCTTAAGTATCGACAACGGAAAAATAGAGATCCTCACAAGTAGTTTACCAAGCTTTTCATTAACTAAACTTATATCTTAATATCATTAAATCATTAAAATATTTAAACATATTCCCCTGGAGTATACGCTTGATCAAGTAGGTATTTATATTGTAGTGAGGACAATAATGTATTTCCGTGGAACTATTGGTAACCTCTGAGATAAATCTCAGATGATTATTATAATCAAACCACCGATTATAATGAATTCGTAGTATTATTTTGACCATATAATTCACTAATGTATATTGGTTGTTTGGATCTTTACATCGATGATTAGAACTGAAATTCATCAGTCACTTTTGACATAAGTGAATGCTATTTGGATTGTCTCGATAGTCCTAGTAATTCATGGGCGTTTTAACCAGTCCTAAACATCAATGGGAAGATGCTAATAACCAGTATATATGAATTAAAGTCCACCCAATATCAATAGCCAGTAGCTTTATGGACTTAATAGTTAAGTGTAGAATTTACTGTATCTGTAAGCTGAATGTACTTGGTTCGAATCCCAAAGTGAACATCAACTCTAGGATCCATGTACATCCAGCTGACCAGTCTCGAAAAGGACGAAACGCGCGTCCTGGATTTCACTGCCAGCTATCATCCATCTCGGCTTAAATGTTCAACGGACTGTTATGTTTCATTTGTGGGAAATAAAAGTTAGGAAAACAGATATTCCTGTTTGAAGTAAAAATGGTAACATTCAGTTTATTGATCATAATTTACAAGATTATGCGGTGATTGATTAACGTTATGATAATTATTATTGAATGGTACGTGGAACAAAAAGTACAAAATATTTTTACTAAGTTAAAATTTCGCAACATTTCATAGTTGTACGCATGAGTCAATTGAATCTAGATCACTATGGAAAACCTGGAAGCACTGGACGATCATTTCGTTCTATTGTGGGACTCCTCAGCAATGTGTATCCACGATCCCGCCTCGCGAGATCCGAACCCGGGACCTACCAGTCTTGCTCCAGAGCACTTAACCGATAGACCACTGAGCCGGAATCCAACTATGAAAATACTGAAATCTCTACAAAACCCCTTCTGATTTAGCAACATATTTTTATCTTTAAAACAGAAATTATCTGAGTAATGAATATTAAAAATCACTTGTGTAAAGTTATAACTTATCTGTTTACTTACTACCGCCATTATTAACCGTTATATCATTGCCTGTATTCCACAATACCACTTCACTGGACTTGTACTGACTTATTATTGACTTTAGTTTTAACCTAAAGAACACACATTCAATACAACTTATAGAAAGAACAATTTAAAAAAAAACGCTGTTTATGGCTAAAATTGAGGAATGAAAAATTTAATCCTTTATGGCTAGAAGTAATTGACAAATATTTGTTTGGATTAATTGTTAATGAGTTATAGACAACCGACAAGAAACTGGGAGGCAAAATCCGACTCACACGTCCTCGTCGTGCCTCCTGGATCATGGCAACCATCCCATGTACTAACGTGAGCGGTAATATGTGTGGTGGAGATCGGCCTAATCAACCATTCTACCTATACCCGCAAACGATTACGAATGCTACAAAGAGTCACTGCATAGCTATTGAGGTTCCAAAATGATTGTAAAAAAGGAGTCCACCCCAAAATAAAAATAAAAAAACCGAATGTGAGTGTTATGTAATGGTTCTGCGTAAGCAGTGCAAAAACAGCTATCCCGTCCAGGTAGTTGTGCCATGCTTCGATGTAGCACTCTTCTCTAGAAGGGCTTACTAGGCTTCACCATGTTCTTATGGCTGGAAGGGGCACAAGAAAATAAAGAAAACTCAAAACTATATGTATATTAGAAAGCACACGATTCAAATCGACATCGTTTGGACTGTTGTAAATAAAACATCATGTTATAACATTATGTCATGTATCAAAGTAAACAAACATAGATAGTCAGAATACATTAAACGTTATTATGCTATGATCAACTAGTATGAATATAATCTGTAAGACATTATATGTATTAATGCCTAGGCTTGACTAATTAGGTATTAGGCCGAAAGTTATTAATAAAAACTATTATATATTGTTTTTAATAACTCAATTTGTAGAAATTCAAATTGTTGGCATTTTATGACTCAATGTAAACCACTTCTTCAGAGCAAATAAATAAATAACCAAATGAAATTCACACAATTTTCAATAGTAATAAAATATTATTAGAAGGGGTTTTGTGGATATTATAGTAACTTTAATAGTTGAGATCATTAATCAATTGAACCTAGACCACCATGGAAAACCGGGAAGCACTGGTCGGCCGTTTCATCATACTGTGCGACTCCTCAGCAGTGCGCATCCACGATCCCGTCTTGCGAGATTCGAACCCAGGACCTATCAGTTTCACGCATGAGCGCTTAACCTTTAGACGATTGAGCCGGCATCCAACGGTGTTAATGTTTAACTTCAACCGATCCACGAAATTGAGCAACACATCCATCAATGTCTTCAGTGAGTTACTATCCCATAACAGACAAGTTTGAACTCCACTGGTCACTGCTTCTCACTAGAACTCCAGGAAATACCTCATGGAGCCAGTCACTAGTGAGTATATGTTGATTATAATCTCAACTTTTTCAGTAAGTAAATGACCAAGTATATTTGATTTACTAAAACAAAAGAATAATGCAGAATTAAAAGAGTTAACTGAAAAAGTCTCTTTTCTAAATTGTTAAGCAAGATATATTTGGATTTTTGCAGTATCAATAGGGTTTATGGATGTCTTGGATATGATGAATTAACAAATGTCAATAATTATTAAACAGAACTTCAGCAATCTCTTTTAATTGTCCTATGAATATATAGCTTAATGTTTTAATAATTTAACTTGGAATCAAAATGGAATATTTTTAAACTTTACTTCAACTACTTTACTCTAAGTAATCAAATTGTATTCATTAGCATTCATGTAGTGTAGTGTAATTAAACATCTGATAGATAAAAGTTAACTTCTTTTTCTGTTTCGTGGCCTGATATTTGACTCCAGTTAGACCGTGTTTATGACTGTTATTGAAATATATATGTCGTCAATCCTCGTATACAATTATCGACTGAAATCGTGTCAGTGAATAACGGAACTAAATAAAACAAATATGAGGATAGGTTCTCGAATGCTTATATTTTGTACTACTTTTGATCCAGACAAACGAGCAAAGAAACGGAGCGAAGACAAGAGAGTGAAGCAAAACGGCAAGCGGTGAAGGCATGTTAGCCAAATCAATTTAATCAAGCGTCGATCGATATTTATAGTCAGACTAAAATAAGTTACAGATATGTAATGAGTAGAATAAGATGTGTACACACATACGCTCATATAAAAACATTCAAGGCTGATAAGGGAATAATTGACAATGTCAAAGTGTCACTCAAGAAGAATGAATAAACTGTTCTTGTAGTGAATGAGAACGCAAGTGAGGACAACCTACAAAGTTTCTTGATAAAATACAAAAACCATATTCTGATACTCTATTTGCAAAATGTTCATTAATTGTCTCAGGCTTCATTATTCCTGGATTTCCACACCAATCGCTTTCTATTTCTGTTCTTCTCTTCTCGATCTTCTCAATCTTCTGCTGCCAGATATTCTATTCCTCACTTACGATATATGTACTACTTATGTCGATATAAGTAACCCACACCACAGTCTATCAGAAAGCTAGAATAAGCTGTGTGCTCTTAACATAGCAACCCACACTACACACTATTCATTACATGCAATAAACTATCAATCGAGTGGATTTATACACCTTATCACAGTTCTAAATAAATCAATTCTGGGTTTATATAAGAAAACGAAAAAACAGACTGACTAGTAATTTTTTTTCATAGTTGAAATCATGAGTCAATTGAATCTAGATCACCATGGAAAACCTGGAAGTACTGGAAGTACCAGTCTCACGCCAGAGCACTTACCCGATAGACCGCTGAGCCGGCTGGCAGGTCCTGGGTTCGAATCTCGCGAAGTGGGGTCATTGACACGCACTGCTGAGGAGTCCCACAATAGGACAAAACGGCCGTCCAGTACTTCCAGGTTTTCCATGGTTGTATAGCTTCAATTGACTCATGATCTCAACTATAAAATTACAAAAATTTCCACAAAACCCCCTGGTGATATTCACTTACTTATTGAAATTTTCTTTTTCACTTTCTAATTCTGCTAAAATTTTCTCATATTTTTCACTAAAATTGTCAACTGAGTTATTTTCAATTTTTTCATTTTGTTGTTTTTTGTGTTTGTTTACTTCATGAATAAATAATTCATCCAGTTTACTATTTGGCTAAAGGGAATCCATAATAATAATAATAATAATAATAATAATAATAATAATAATAATAATAAGACAAGTGGTAATTTCAACAAATGGAGAACACTTAGCAAAATAACTTAAGGTAGACTACATATGGTATATGTACTATATAAACAACAGTCAGTCCGTCAGCTACAAAGTAGGACCAGGCACATATATGCATCTGTCCAAGTTGATATATCTCATTAGCACAACAAGATGAACATCGAATTCATAGAAGTAGTTAATTTAATGATGGTAATATATAAAAGATAGGTTGTATATACGCACATAGTATAGGAAGGAAGAACGTTATGAAGCGATTTTAATCTCAAGGTTTAAGGGAAGATAAAGAGTGTATACACCTACGCCATTGTGATCGATTCTGAGTCATGTCACCTAGAGTCTCCAACCACTGGTTACGATAGTCATGCGGACCCCAACCAAGTAGTCTGCATCTACCAACATGGATTAGACTAGAAGTTAGTGACTTAAAGCACTGATGCCTCGTTTTGGTTTGGCCGCTCCTAACTTTCTTCCAACCATCCCCAATACTGGTCAGCACTGCTTGTCGTGGTAATCGATGTTCAGGCATACGTAATACGTAGCCCAACTATCACAGTCTATGAAGATTCATGACCTCATCAACTGGTTTACCATCATTCTTTATTACCCTGAGTCTAACCTCACTATTACTTACCCGGTAATCTCAGCAGATGCGAGCAATATTTCTAAGGTACCTGTGGTTAAATACTAGTAACCAATGAGTATCCTCTACTCTTAATGGTCACGTTTTGCATCCGTATAGTATAACAGAGCGAAATGCTGCTCAGTATACTCGTTTTTTAATTAGTAGACGAATATTTCGCCTTCGTCATAGGTCACGTAAGTTGGCAAAAGCCAAACGAGCCTTCTGAATCTGTGCAGAGATTTCGTCAGACACCAACCCATTAGGACTGATCAGACTTCCAAGATAAACGAAGTTGTCGACGCGTTCCACTGTTTCACTCGCTATTCTTAATCAGGTGTTGACACAGGCCAGTCCTGGAGTAATAATTCACATTTAGAGGGGGAGAAACGCCTTCCAAATATCCTGGTGTTATTACCAGTTCTGTTGATTTGGCAGGAGAACTGTCAGTACCCATCGATTCATTAGTTTGTATCTCTGATTAACGATTCTTTTATCTAAAGATTAAATCAACCACATTATCTTGGTTGAATATTATTTACGTAAATTAGCCGTTTGAATGTCTTAATAATTTATTCGATCACTTTAGTAGTGGTTTCGTCTTTGAAAATCTGTCAAGTTGGGATTCGAATATCGCTATCATGAAGATGACTAACAACTGTTCATTATCAACCACTACTGCACAATACTGAATCGAATGTTCGGTTATCACAGTAATCATTGGCGCAAAATGACAAGAGCCAAGAAATTCTTTACACTCCAACTATTGAGCCACAATTCTAACAGTATACACTAATACTAATATTAACCACTCTGGTTACATGATAATGACTGTACTATAACTATGTTATATACTTAAAAGAATTGAAGTAATAATTCTATTCATGTAATAAACGTCCCTTATTATTAAAAACTTGTAAATTACCAGTATTTTTTTTCTTTGAAACATAGTTTCATCTTCATCAGTGTGCAACTTGAAAATTCTGTTAGGTAAAATAGAGAAAAAACATTACTGAGAGTAGTTTTATTTGAGATGTTCATTGTGTTATATACAAAAGTTATTATCTCATTTGTATGAGGTCTTAATTGGGTAGAACTAAGGGTCGCTTCCACCAACTGTTTGATCAGATAGTTAAGAAAGAACTTTCATCTTATTGAGAGAGAGCCTACATTGTAACCGCAAGAGTATTAACTTTTAGGAAGTCTCTAAATTTTAGGCATACATATGAATGAAGTTTGTACTGGAAAATTCTGAAAGTTGAATGTTTTTCCAGATCGAATTAGCTTATAAAAGTTTTATAGATAAGATCATGAGTCAACTGAAGTTAGACCACCATGGAAGACCTGGGAGCACTACTTGACGGCCGTTTCGTTCTATTGTGGGACTCCTCAGCAGTGCGCATCCGTGATCCCGCCTTGCGCGAAAAGAAAACAAGACCTAACAGTCTCGCGCCGTCCAGTGCTTCCAGGTTTCCATGGTGGTCTGGCTTTAATAGACTCATGATCTAATCTATAAAATTACCAAAATCTCCACAAAACCCCCTTCGGATAATGAATAGTGACTGGCTCCATGAGATAATTCCTGGAGTTCTAGTGAGAAGTCTTGACCAGTAGAGCCGATCCATGTCAGTTAAAGACAGGTATCTACCTCAGTACAATGGAAGTTGGTCGCGCAATTTCGTGAATTAGTTGAAGTTAGACATTAACAACGTTGGATACCGGCTCAGTGGTCTAGAGGTTGAGACTGGTAGATCCTGGATTTGAATCTCGCAAAGCGGGGTCATGGACGCGCACTGCTGAGGAGTCCCACAATAGGACAAAACGGCCGTCAAGCAGTGTTTCCCGGTTTTCCATTGTAGTCTAACTTCAAATGACTCATGATCTCATCTATAAAATTACAAAAATCTCCACAAAACCACCTTCGGGTAATAAAAATTTGTTATCACTTACGGTAAAATCCATTTTGATTTATCCATTAAAAACGATTGACTAAGGTCCGTAAGTACAGATTTGGAATCATTATCGAATAACTGACAAGCTGTTTCATAAATTGGCTTCATGTCTATTTCATCAGGAACCGGTATATCAAAGGATTTCAAATTTTCAGTATGCTTAATTTGTATGTTGTGATGTTTATATAGATAAGAAAAAAATAAAATCATCAAAATTGATTGAGAGTAAGTTAAAGTACTTCATTTCTATTTATTTGCGTTTAATAAAATTGGTTGTTTTTTTTTAAGACAGTGATATATCATGAGCTGAACTCGTTGATTGTAGAACTTTCAAAGATGTTTGTTTGGAAGCTTTATGATCGGTAGCTTCACCAAACAATGATGTATAGTTGCTACAAGTGACTTTAGGTAAGATAAACATATGAAAATCATATGTAGAAAGATCATACGGTAAACAATTGTTTCATTACCTAGAAAATAATGATTTTGTTAGTTTCTTCTTCCCTATGAATACTATATTATCTCTTAAACAATAATTAAGGATATTTAAAAAGGTATTCTCATTTCTAACTGAAATCATTTGGAGATTTATCGAAAGCAAGGAAGAAGTTGATAGTTATTTCTCCCTACTTGTAACTTAGCAAAAATGAGCACTTTGACGTGTAAGCAGACAATATAAAGCTTGAAACCTTGGAATTCAGCTTCGGGCACTTTATTATCTTACATTCAATAGGGAATCTCATAGTTCACTGTTTTCAAATTTAATTGATAGACTGTACGTAGTAAATGTTATTCGACGACATCGATGTTAAGCTCTTTTTTATTCTATATCTTTACTTTCTTTTCCAACTTCCTTTTGTACATTCCTCCATATTACTTATTATTTTCAGTAACCCTTTCCATTTCTAATAAATTCTGACCGCCCAATGTGACTCGTCTGTTATCTTCTGATATATTTTTTCAACCCTAGTATATCTGTCGAACGTTTGCTTTATTGTGACAGTTTTTGTGACAGGGATTTTAAGGTCACGACGCCAATTTCAGTACCTGATGCTCATTTACGATCGGTTCCCAGAGGATTTTAAAGAAGACTTGACAATTAAGCAGCTACAATAAATGGGACTACTAAGAAGTTCCTGTATTTGTAATTGCGGTAAATAAATGACTTGTAGACTGTGTGCAGACTACCTTGATGTTGTCCTCCGATGTAATATATGTTGAAGGAAAACGTTTACTAGGATAGGAACCTTTATCGCTCGATCCAGATTGAGACTAAGGCATATTATAATAATTGCCACCAACTGTATAATAAAAGCATCAGTAATATTGGCTGCAATATTCGCAGATGTTACTGAAGCTTCGGCTGTTGAGTGGTATGAGTATTGTAGGGACATATCTATAATAAAAAATGATAAACTTACACAACTAGAGTACACAAACAATAATGAAACTATGTGGTCGAGGCTGAGAGGGTTTTTATGTCCTTATCATGGCTCCAGAGACCAACTATTATGGAGCCATATGGATAAGTTCCTCTACTTTATGCATTACGATTTTGGAACCTTTTAATTTTCTTCTAACCTTGACAAGTTTTTGGACCTTATAGAAGTGTATCCACTTTAATTATTTGGTTTTGTATGATATATTTTTACTCAAAGATGACTGTTCACTGATTGACAAATATTTCTCAAGGTCACTTAGGATTCGTTCAAACGTGGTCCATAAATTATAGCCTCATCGCATAAGACAGTAAAATAATATCATATTTACACGAACTGAAGTAACATTTGTAAATTCATGCTTTGGTGGCACATATCCAAACTCGTGAATCAATACGCTTTCAACAGTTATTACATATGCAATGAAAGTCATACAAGTGTGAGGCATCATATTTGTTATAACTTACACTGGTAAATTTCATCTCATTGAAATCTTTTGCGATTGTATTGATAAGATAAGTAAAGATTTCATCATTTTCATTAATAATAGGCAGATTTCCATCCAACTGAATGTTAGTTTCTTCGTCAACCTCAATATTGATTTTCGAAAAAAAAATTTTATTATCACAAGGGGGTTTTTGTGGAGATTTTAGTAATTTTATATAGTTAAGATCATGAGATAATTGAAGCTAGACCACCGTGGAAAACCTGGAAGTCGTGGCCAGTGGAGCTAATCCATGTCAGATAGAGACATGTATTTACCTCAGTACAATGGAAGTTGGTCGCGCAATTTCGTGGATTGGTTGAGGTTGGACATTAACACCGTTGGATGCCGGCTCAGTGGTCTAATGGTTAAGCGCTAGCGCGCAAGACTGATAGGTCCTGGGTCCGAATCTTGCAAGTGCGGGATCGTGGATGCGCACTGCTGAGGAGTCCCACAATAGGACGACTTGGCCGTCAAGCAGTGCTTCCAGGTTTTCCATGGTGATCTAGCTTCAATTGATTCATGATCTTAACTAGATAAAAAATTTATTGATCATATTAAAGCATTCATCGAGTAATGAATCATGGATAACTAACTACATGTCATCGATCAGTTTCTGTTGAAGCTGCCCATCAGCACAATGACAGAATAAAGTAACAGTACATCCAAAATAATCTATTCAGACCTGTTTTTTGATTGGTCACCTAATATTCTTGGATTGTTCCGTTGTACTATTTAAACTTGGATTAATGTTGATTTGGTTATGTTTTCTCTGAAGAAGTGGCTTACACTAAGTCACGAAACGTCAGAAAATCTAATTTTTCTACTCATTGAGATATTACAAATATATTAATTTATTTATAACTGTTCAGTATATATTTTTCAATCAATATGAAAGTGAATATTTCACTTGTTTCAAAAATGGAACGAGTTGACACAAATGAAATGAATCTTTTGCACTCCTTTCAAGATTTCGTCAACTACAAATACAATAACGTTTCGATAATTTTCAAGATGAGTGAAGTGGCCAACAATCATGACCACTTCATTCCATATAGTAACATTAGTTCATACTATTTCCGCTTATATATGTATGTATCAGTAGAACATTTGAAGTGATCACTAATTACTGATAACAACACAAAGCAAATCAGATTATATGAGCCAAAAAGAGAAATTATGTAACTACATTATCATGGGAGCACCTACTATGTTAAGATTAATAATATTGTAGAAGCTACCTCAACCACTGAATCAAAATCTTTCTCAAAATGCCTACATTAAATTTATCTTAATACGAATACATTAAATATTGTTACTATTAACTGTTCATATGCACAAAGGTGATTTCATTCATATTTCGTCTTTTATTTATCATTAATCTTCAGGAACCACAATGTTTCAGTGATTGTAGATACTTTCGCCATCCGTCTCGTCAATTAAAAGTCTTGAATATGCTTTAAAGAGTAGAACCTCACAATGAGATTAATGCTTTCGGGACAATGTGTAAATTATTTTGTTAATTTTTATGTTCAATATCAAATTAAAATTCAGTGTAAACTTAGTCAACACAATTGAATACTGGACTCTATTAACTACCTAATGACTTTGAATAAACTAAAAATAACCTATTAACTTAGTATTGTTTGTTTGAATCTTCCCATCGATGTGTTAGGACTGCAACTGATCAGTCTCTAATTGGCATATGTGCATACTGTGCGTATTGCCTCGATATAGCCGTGATTCACAAGCATGATAAGCAAAGATGGATAGTGGCTAGCAGTGGAATCCAGTTTGACGCGCGTTTCGTCCTATTTGGGACTCGTCAGCTGGATGTACCTGCATCTCAGAGTTGATGTTCACTCTGGGACTCGAACCCATTACCCTCGCTTCAAACGCCATCGCGTTATCAACTCGGCCACTGAGTCCTGATAGCCACTTGCTTGTGCGATGGGGTGAATTTTAAATTTTTTAAAGATAACCTATTGTTGAGTAGATTTATTACAAATGACAATGACAGTGGCAAACATTTATTCATGTATATGTCCACTAATATAGATAGTCAATCAGTCAACCACTGAATATATATAAGAAGTAACTTACTTCTTTTGCATATTCATTCCAAAATGGACCCATTGTTTGTAGTAAATTTTCGGAGACACAGCGTCTGTCAGTAGGTCTCACATCAGGTGTTAGTATAACCTAAAAGAAATCGTCATTTTTTTTATTTGTAAAGATGTAACATCCAATTAAATTTTACCAAATCATATGTAAAATATTTGAAGAGAGGGTAAACGGTTTCCGTTACTAAGGGTTCTAATCAGAAGTCCTGAAATTTGGGGAGCACCGTAAAAATATTTCACTGTTGCACGATTATAAGTAGAAGTCTAGACCTACAACTTTATATGTGACTGAAACTTCTACCCTCAGATCCAATGACGGGAAAGACTCCACTTAGCCTTTCAAGTCTAAATCTAGTGATCCTTATTTAACAATGTCAGTCAGTATCTGATGTAAGGTACCTTTTAGTCATTTGATTAACAAAGTATTTGAACTACAGAACAGTAATTCACTTTCCATTAAAAAAGACCAAATTTTTGCAAAGTTATTATTCTACATGTTTAATTGAATGAAATGACAAATTGGATGAAAATGGTACTAATCTATCTTCACACCTTAGTTTCTGTTTACCCATAAAAATTGCCCAATGGTAAATTATTTCACTTTATTTTACCTTTAATGTAATTGTTGGCATATATAACTTAAGGATGTAACATGTATATTATGGGTTTACGTTTGTCGAAAAGATATTTGTTATATCTATCATTATTTATATTTGTGCATAGTTATGATAATTTCCATGCTTTTGTGGAAAGCTGAGATAGAACATTCAAGTATCTTTACCATTAAATAGATTGTTATATTAAAAATGATTGACAAACTAACTTTCATTTTTATCAAAAAAATAGTAAAGAAAATGCTAATTTTCTTCTCAGAGACATTTAGAATCGATATTCCATCATCTATTCCTGTTTATAAATGATTATGTATCAGTTAGTCAGTCACAACGTAGAACTTCGTACTTACATACATTAGTTCGAGTCGCCATATCACATTAGCACAGAGATGCGGTTGTCCATTCAAATTCCATAGTGACAGAGGTAGTAAGAGTATAAGCATTATGTGAAAAATTAGGGTTTGAAGATGTTATTCAAGGAGTATAAGCCAGTGAAGTAAATTCGGACAGAGAAATAATATGGAGAATTCAGAAGATTAGAATTTGGTAGAACACAAATAGTGAATGCACCTGCGCCATCGCAAACAATTTTGAGCCATGCCATTTAAGGTCTCTAACCATCGGTTGCTATCGTCTCGCGGATCCCAACCAAGTAGTTTACACCTACCAACATTGCTCAGTCCACTTGTCAGCCACTTCATGCATTTGTGCCACGTTTTGGTCTGGCCGCCCGTAGCCTTCTTTCAACTTACTCCTACACTATAAAACATCGCGCATCGGGGTAGTCGGTGGTTAAGGATACGTAACACGTGTCCCAGTCATCTCAACCGATGAAGTTTCACTACTTCATCAATCGATTTGCCATCATTACCTATTACCCGTTTCCTAACAACTGCATAACTTACTCGGTGGTCCCGGGACACACGAGTAATGGTTTCGAAGACACCTATGATCGAATACTAGTAACCTACGAATATCCTCTACTCTTATCGGCCATGTTTCGTTGCCATAAAGTAGGACGGACCGAACTGTTGCACAGTAAACCCGTCCTTTTGTTGTTAGACGGACATCTCGCCTACGCCATAAATGACGCAAGTTGGCAAAAGCTAGACAAGCCTTCTGTATCCGTGCTGAAATTTCGCCACACACCAGACCACAAGGGTTGATGAGACTCCCAAGATAAGTGAAGCGGTCAACACGCTCACCTACTTCACTACCTATCATTAGTTTAGGTGCCGATGCAACCCAATCCTGAAGTAACATTTTGCACTTCGAGTGGGGGGGAGAATCACATCCCGAACATGCCTGCATAGTTACTTATAGTGGTCAGAAGACTCTGCATTTTGTCAGAGTCTTCACCGAATAAAACTATGTCGTCGGCGTATTGTAAGTTAACAAGTGAGTCTCCTGGTAAAAGTTCAACTCCTGGAGATTTAGATGATGAAAGTGTTACCTCTAAAAGTATGTCAACGACAAAGTTAAATAGGAATGGCGAGAGTGGACAGCTCTGAAGAACACCACTTGAGGTAACCAATACTGATGAAAGTTCGCCATAGACTCTAACTCAACCAGTTGTGTTCGAGTAGAGAGCCTTTATAAGGTTAATGTACGTATTTAAAATTATTTCATAAAACTAAGTCTTTAAAATGTTGTCGTCTAAACAGATAACTTATAGTTCAATATAATTATAAATTAACAATTATTTGTTTACCGTATTTTCAAAAGACTTCATTAAGAAACTTGGCTGCTTAGATATACTAAGAATAGGTTTAGCTTGAAGTTGATTTAGAAGTATTTCATCAGTTAGATTACGTAATACATCGACCTGAAATATAAAATATTAATTAGTAGTTTTTGATAAGTTAAGCACTAACTTTGAGAAATTAAATTTGTTAATAAAGTGAAAATCCAAGACGTAATTTATTGGTAACTCTTTTCTTTTGAATTAATCAGAAAAAAAATGGAGTCGGAGGTATTCGACTAACAATGATGACAGTGACTTAGGTTACACAGAGATTTCAATTTTTAGCCTTTTTCAAGAATTAAATATATTAAAGGCTAACACAAAGAAGTTCGAAATGTACGGTTGAATAAATTTCGATTGCGTCTCCTGTAGGACGGTCAACGACTGGAATGTCTTGTCTAAACAAATATTATTAGTCCCATTGGTTAACAATTTTAAAACTGTATCTTCACAAAAATACCTGCTACAAGACTAATACTGGACAACCGATCTATTAACCTTACGGCTTAAGACAGTAAATTAATCATAACATTATTCCCAGCAAAAATATGTTAAAAGACATACAAATAGTAAACAATAGTCCGTCAAATAACAAAACCAAATTATTACCTTAACTATCATTTAGAGAACAAAGTACATGGTGCTTTTAATGAAACGTACTTCTTTTCCCTAGCAATCAGTCCTACATTGTCATATCGAGATGATTAGGTTTTAAGTAGTATACCAGATTTAAGTTAGTATGAAAATTCGGATCGCTGTCAGTCATTGTAAGTAATGAGAATACATGATTTAAAACTGACTTACTAATTAAATAATATCGAATAGTTATGCACCTTCAACAATGAATTAAATCCTATTTACTATTTCTTAGAATAAAAACTCAAAATATTGACTCTAAAGGAAATCTTTAAATTTCATACTTTTATAAGATACCCCAGGTTCTATTGACCAGTATTGACCAAAACTTAAATATATCTCTTTTTTCTTTGCCAAGTTGCCTGTAATCACTTTGACAGAGTGAGAAGTTCAATCTTTGAATTAGCCTAAGTATATGTTACAAATTTCAACTGTACAACTATTGAAATACCTACTTTCATCAGTACCAATAATTATTACTTTACTATGCAAGCAACTTGTAATATTCTAAATAAAGACAATTACGACCAGTAGAATAAATAAGTCCGGGACAACTAGTTTTCACGAAGGCGAGTGGCTTACAATTGAATAGACTGAATGAAAATTAGTAATGTTAATCTATTGCAAAATTCATTCTTTGTAATAACAAAGAAGGCTCCCCTTAATCACTATGACTTATTTATGTCCCACACAATCTACACATATAAACATACACACAATTTCAACCCCACTACTTGGTTACAGCACATCTCAAATAAGGTCAAATATGATTGTTTGGATAAACAGTCCAGGCTAGATAAATACTCAGGCCTTCTTTCTTATTGAGGGCAGAGGTATTTAGCATTATGCGGAATACTTCGGCTACTCTCCTCTCTTTATAGTTTGGGAAACCTTTCAGAATTGGTTTGATATTTTTAATATCAATTTGGTGATTACTGAAAATAGCATTGCTGATTTAACTTGTAAATTTCACAATTTTATAGGATCATTTGGAGGCCTTTTGTGCAACTTAAGTGTTTTTATGGCACAAGTTGAGATCTCACGGGAGATTCTCCTGCTTTCTTGTTTAGAGATATTTAATGTCTTCGTATATTAGTATTTCTATGATTGAATCATCTGTTGGACTTATGTAGTCATACTGTAACATTTGATTATTTTATACAAGTAATTGTGTATCTTTTGAAATCTTTTTCATTTGATTTCATTGAGTCAACATTAATAATTACAAATCTCATTCCATTTTTCGTGTCTCCATATCTGTCTATTCGGTTCTGTGTTCTAGTAGTATTTATTGATGTAAATGAAATCATAACTCTATTTCCCTAATGTATTCCGTTTTTTCTTTTCAGTTATTCAAGTATACATTGGTCCTTATAAATATTTAGTTTTCTTTACGTTCAAAACAAACTATTGCTAATTATTGTAAGCGAAGATGGATAGTGACTAGCAGTGGAATCCAGGACGAGCGTTTCGTCCTATTTGGGACTCGTCAGCTGGATGTATCTGCATCTCAGAGTTGATTGATAATTATTTATAAGCCCATTTTCTATACGATGAGTGGAGCTATAATATTGGTACAAAAATAAAACTCACTTTCGAATATTCACATTCGGAGTCAGTGCAAACATTTTTTGACAAATCAGTGAAGTAGTTGATTTCAAACTGGGAAGGGCTTCTTTGAATTTCTGCAATAATTCATGATTGATATATATATGTTTCTTAATCTGAAATTGGGATACCTTCTAAAGACAGTCCATTGTTTGTATTACTGGAATGTATATTAGAGTTAAAAATTTTCGCTTGAAGTGGTCTATATTACCTGTACGCCTGATTAATAGAGCATAGCTCTTTATTGTACATGTACACTATTTCCCTAAAAGCTTCCAGAAACTTAGTAAATTTTGGAAATACCCTTTGGAATACTTTCCTGTTGTGATGAAAATGCTGACGTTTTTATTTCTATTCCGGGTTCTGAGAATAATTCTTTTACAATCTTCGCAAAATTTTTGATTATATTAGACCATTGTGTCCCATCCAAAAAGAATGACTTCTTAGTACACTGAGAAAGGTGAGTGAGAACATACTGAATCTTCGAATGAACAAATGACTTCCTGTTTTATTTTTTCAAGTTCTTGCGTAGTTTTCAAAATCTACAAAGTCATTTCACTTTTTCGTTTAAAATAACGAGCTATCTAACCACCACATGTCTTAAATCTTCTCCTAAACTGTCACCTAGCTCCTCCGTTAACAAAGTTTTAAAACCTAACAAGGTGATACTCATTTTCATATGGCGTCGAGTTGTTATTTTCTTCGCAATTAGCTTCCAAGTGCGAGTGAGAGAAGAATGGTTTTTGTATGTATGAAAAAACCAAACAACTAAACCAGCCCGTCAGTCTAAAGGGTAATAAAACAAACAAAAACTTGAAAGTGGCTAGTAACCAGGTACAGCTCTCATTATGAATAATTAAACGAAACTTACGGCACTCAACAGTGGGGAAACAAGAGTAGAAAGCAGTGAGAAAGTAGAGCATTTTTAAAAGATTGGTATAACTGTAAACCGTTACCTCGCATGATAACAAATAACTCCATAGGATGAGAACTTTGCTATGAGATGCAGGCTCCTTAAATCTTATTAAAGCTCCACTAAATCACAGCCCATGCTTCAAAACTTATCAAAGGGATCGACTAATTCACAAATGATTTTCTGGTTTAATATTCGTAGTATGACAAATCAGGTAACAATTTCAGATGTTTTCAACAGTTTGCACTTCGAATCCTAAGGAATTGCAGCTAGGGTCTTGAATTTTTCGAAACTCTGTACAAAATTATACGGCGTACATGCGGTCCTTGAAATGCCGTAATTTTTTTATTTAAGTGATATATATGACGTAAGTATATATATATATATATATATATATATATAACCCTTTTAAAGGGTTATCTTGTGTTAAACTTACAATTTTATATCGAAATAAATTATTTTCAAGCCGGAGTATAATTTTACTAGAACATACGGATTTCACGCGACTCATCTATTAACTTATTAAGTGTTCAAGGGCTGCTGAGTATGTACAAAAGTATTAAAAATGAATACTGTGAGTCACCGATAATACAGATGTTTGGATAAATATACTGAGTAAACTTCCCGGATGTTGGTGAATATATTGGGCATACTACTATAAGCATTTAACACCAAAATATTTTTGTCTGGTAAGACTATAGTTTACGCAAGATATTAAATGTCCGTTGACTGGATACCATCAGCAACAGTATACTGTGGGAGAGAACAAACCAGCTTCCAGCTGAGAAAGAATTTAGGAGAAGATGTTAGAAGTGGATAGGATATACATTACGGGAATCATCAAACTGCATCACGAAGCAAACGCTAACATGGAATCTTGAAGGGAAACAGAAAAGAGGAAGGCCGAAGAACACACTGCGTCGGGAGTTGGAAGTAGACATGAAAGGGATGAATGCGAACTGAAAAGGACTGCCCATAACAGAGTTGGGTGGGGAATGCTGGTGGCTCCCTATGCTCCTCCACATGGGGTAACAGGCGTAAGTAAGTAAGTCTATAGTCGGTTTTGTTCATTATGCTAATAACTCATAGGTCAAGTGAATGTCTTTCACTTTTCGGGGTTTCTTTAAAAATATTTTGTTATATATCAACGAACATGGGAAGTCGCTAATTTCCATAGCAGTTACACATAATTCAAAGTATAAAAGAATAAGGAACTACGACAGCCTCTTTATGCATAGTTAACCAACTTTTTCATGAACAAATACACCGAATACTTTCGCAGGAGTGAACTAGTAGGTGGTATGTACTTTGGTCACTTGGACGCTATAAGTGTGTCGGTTAATAAAAAAAGACACTGTGCAACTATATTAACTGTAGAGTAGAAAAAATGTTGTTTGCATTGACTGATTGATTGTGAAATTAACCTGTTAATCTTATCCAAAATCAATTCATACAATACATCATTCAAAATTATTGGAGTAGAGGAAATAAATAATTTCGTAATTAGATATGTAAACTGTTATGATGGTGAAAACTCTGTTTTCAGTGTTCACAGTTTAAAGCACATCGTGAAAGATGTATTTCAACAAGACTGTTTAGATTCCTTCCCTGACTTTTCCTTCAAATTGTACGTGAACAATATCTGACAATCAGTTCACTATGGATTTGCTGGGGCAAAACAAACTTCACAGTTATATGTTGGTGAATATGACTTCCAAAGGTTGTTTCGGACTGACGTAAGACCTAATTTTACGGACCCTTCCTTCTGTTATGATTTTTTGAAAGATTGTAACTTTCAGGAACTCTAAACACTCGTTCCCTAGTCCTACGGCTGTGATAACGGTTAATGAAAGCTTGGGATCACCACTAGAATATAGTCAAATTTCAGACCAGATAGAGACCCCTGTGACTTCCTCATAGATTCTTTCAATTCAAATGATATAAGTATTTGCCAATATTTTAGATTTAGTCCATAGTGTGTGCGATTCTATGACAGAAATACTTTGTGAGTGTGCTTCAATCTCTACATAAATTTACGAAGCCACAGTACTAAGTTGACACACTTTTAAGTAACCTTAGTGACATAACTTTCATGCAGTTATCTACTGTATTTAGTTAAGATATTAGTGACTCGTGTAGGTATTGACAGTCTACTTTTCAATCTGTAACTACGTATGTTGTTGACAAATGTTCATAATTTGTGTCTTCGACCATTTCAGAATATGGATGAATTCTTCGCCATCAATCAGAACATCAAGAAAGGACAGTTTCATGTTGTGCCACGTAATTGGTTACTGAATGGACAATTATGTGCATCCGATGGAAATGCAGCAATTAAACAGATCCGAGGTCACATATATCCAGAAGAACACTGTGAGTTCCTTGAAAGCAAGGTCGTGCGGTACTGTGGCACGTTTCGATTGCATTAGGTATTATTCATACAAAAGACTTGGATGTTGGCATTGATTTGAAGTCATTGATAGAAAGTTTGTTCAATGTCAACACAACAAAAATTGATCCGGGTCATACAATTTCATGCCAATATAAGATGCTGAGAGGGTGAACTTACAGTTTTAATGGATTAACAGAATTCTCGGAGGACCAAAAACAGACATCACAGACTACGCTACACCTTTGAGAGAACGGAAGCAATAGAAATTGACGTTGTCAGCAGCCCAGTAAACTAACCCAAAATCAACACTTTCGTGGATAAATGGCCCATAACCAGACGTGCATTCATTTATTCAATTATCAGACATCATCTCTTCAAAAAAGGAGTCCCTGTCAGTATTAAACATATCAGTTGTACAGCCAACACTAAGAACTATTTCAAACGAGTCAGCTTTTACATGAATGCTTGCGGTGTCACAATTTTTACAACCACGGTTGAAGAATTATCTGGAAGACTGAACAAACTGGGGACATGCCTGAAAAAATCATCGGTCGACGTTAAAGATGAAGCGACATACATCATCGGCTCATGGTCAGTGAAGTTTCCAATCCATACATTTGAAGAGATTGATATACCGGTGGCTGCTCAACCAAACGCTGAATTTCAAGATCACTTCGTAGATAACAGTCATTGTTAATGACAATCCAGGTGAACAAATCTTTGGGGAAAATGGGTACGATTTTCGTAAAACCACTAAATTTTTATCGGCTTAAATTTTTTCATCTTAACTAACCATTCAGTATAAACTACATGGAACAAAGTTGAAAGCGGGAGTTAGTAACTATCGATTTTACCTAAAGGTTTGGAGTAAGTCTTTATTATTTTAGGCATTCTCGTTCAAATGTATTGTCTTTACAGCTCATCAGTTATCCGGTGAACCAGATCGGCATACGCAGGTAAACAGATTTCGCTTACTTATATGATGCAGTTTATAAAGTATTTCGTTGAAAAACAGAAGACAGTGCAAGTTCAGAAGATCATGTATTTAATTTTGTATTCATATTTTCTCGAGTTCATGTTATTAGACAAATAGTGCGCAAGTTTTAATGAAATGTTTCAACGAATTTGTATATAATTTTCAGCTTGCTAGAAAAACTCTGATTGACAATACGGTAAGTTTCTCATTTCTAATAGATGTAAAAAGTATTCTAGGGCTCTTGTTATTCTTGCTTAGCTACATGCAACATTTATGTAATTCAATATTATATTTGTTGAGTTTAATGATTAACTTTTTCACTTAATGTTTCTGTTTCAAAATACCACAGACATAACTTTACAGTATTACTAAAGGTTCAGGATCTCTCAACAGTTGGCACGTGTTAACGTGCCAAAGAACTTCTGACCTGTACTTTTTTCATTTACTATAATACACGATTTAATTTATAGTACGAATGTGTTTTGATGTTATGTTACAGCCAGGATGTAAGATATGGAAAGTGCTTAGAAGAAAGACTACTTGGACTAGGTTTATTGACTTACCGATATCAGTTCCATAAGATAAAGTTTGGAAGGTAGCATTAAACGATAAATGCGTTACAAGTTAAACTGACTAGTACTGAGTAAACAATTCAGCATCTTTCTGAGGGATGTTGTTAGAAAAAGTGCTTTATTTCCTGCTCATGAATCAATATGTTCAAATTCTTACATTCGTCCGTAAAGCCAGTCAAAGTCTTTCACGTAAATCTTTGACCTGAGAAATGCAGGAAGCTTCCAGAACCAGTGAAAATTTAGGGATCTCGTATTTATTATCCATATCATTTTATAAATGTGCGTGAAACTTTTGGATAAGTTAGGGGAAAAACGCAGAGCCTGCAGACGCTCAAAAGTTGATCATTGGAAGCTCATGGGATTTTCTCAGAGCGTGTGAAAATTCTGACTGGTTTATGAGTAAACTTTAGGGAGAAAATCATAGCCTAAGGAAATTTTGGGTGGGTTTCGGAAACAATTCCGGACCATGGTAGATTTTTGCTTTGGTGGTTGCAGTTTGTCAAAGTTAAGGCAAAGCTTTTGAGGGCATTGCTCCATAATCAATTCGAAACTGATCGATTTTGTCCCAATGTTGGATTTTTGGGACAACTCATTAATTAAACATTGTACACTTACACTTAAAAAATGAAAAAATCGGTAATGATTACAAACAAGAAAACGTGTGATATTGAGGTATCTGATAGTGGGAATTAGAAGTTGATGATATGAGGTTTCGAAAGTGTAATAACTGTAAACACTTAAATTTCCTCGCTTATTTATTACTATGGTCACAAGGTCATTTCAGTTTCAGTTTGGAAAGGATAGGAAGCTTGATGGCCTGTGTTAGTCCTAGCAATGATGGTCTCTCAGCTGATCCAACTTTTTTTGAAGGAGTCGACGGATGGAGCCTCAACCACGTGCTGAGGTAATGAATTCCACTCGTTGATTATTCGATGGGAAAGTCGGTAGTCAGCTGACAAGTAATTCGTTCTGGGCTTGTGAACATCTTTGGAGTATCCTCGTAGATTTTCTGTTTTGGAAGACAAGAAAAATGAGGGCATATCAGGTGCAAATTTGTCATTAAGCAATTTGAAAACTGTAGTCAAGTCGCCTCTGATTCTTCTATATGACAGCGGGAATAGGTTTAGCTTGGTCAGTCTAGTACCATACG